TCGGGATCGTCTGAAGAAGAATAGTTTGAGGCTGAAACGTGAAAATGCGTATTCATGGCTCCCCATGTTGATAATTTGCTTTTCCGTATAAGTGCTGAGGGACTGAAGACGATTGAGAAGAAAATCCGGCCTCTCGTTGAGGCACCACAATCAGGAAATCAACGCGAGTTGAGGTCGTTCTTGGGAATGTACAATCACTACTCAAGGTTTGTTCGGCAGTCAGCCACAATGTTACACCCGTTGCATTGTTTGTTATTCAAGGGCCCTCAGTGGGTGTGGTCTGAGACGGAATTGGCTTTTCGTCAAGCTAAATGTATAACAGCCAGTCCACGGGTTTGGCCCACGTTGATCCCGAAAAGTACATGACGCTGACATGTGATGTATCGCCATACGGAGTCGGAGCTGCACTGTTACAACGGGACGCTAAGATTAAATCAACCGGTTGCATTTGCATATCGGACTCTATCGTAGATCGAACAAAATTACGCCCAAATTGACAAGGAGTCGTTGGCGATCGTTTTTGGGTTTGTGCGATTTCACCAATATTTATTCGGGCAGAGATTTGAAACTTACACCGACCAAAAGCCATTACTGGGAATTCTGGGTGAATCAAAGTAATAACCCAGTTGCAATCGCCCCGGATACTTCGCTGCGTTCTACTACTCGCCGGAAATCAGGATCAATTAAAATATCTTCCCAAGAAGGAGAATTATTGTGCCGATGCTCTCAGCCGACTTCCATTACGGGAGGCTCCGAGGCACGCACCAGCTTTGAGAGCACTGGTACAATTATTCGCCGATGACAGCGAGGTAAATAAACTCGGAAACAAGGAGTGACACGGAACTGTTGAAAATGCATGAGTGTATCCTAATTGGTTCGCCGGACCGGCTAGATGAAATCTCACACACTCGAAGAGGTGAATTAAGCCTCGAGGATGATTCCATGCTTTGGGGATCTCGAGTCATCGTCCCCAAATGCCATCGTTAAACAATCCTGCGAGAACTTCATTTGGGTCACCGAGGAAATTCAAAGAATAAGGCAGCAGCACGTAACTACATCTGGTGGCCGGCAGTTGACCAAGAGATAGAACAACTCGTAAATTGTGTGCTAGCTGTCAAGAAAATAAGTCATCCCCACCACCTGTGCCAATGTCTCCATGGCAATGGCTATTGCGCCCGTGGGACAGAATTCACATTGACTTCCGTGGACACATCTCGGCTTCATGGTTCTGGTTGTGCTGGACGCCCATTCCAAATGGATCGAAGCTCGGGCAACCACAACCATGACTGGGTCGACCACTGTGCACCTCTAAAGGAATATAATCACTACACATGATGCACCATGTACGGTTGTTTCAGATAACGGCCCGACAGTTACCAGCAACGATTTTGCACAATCCCTAAGTCAAAATGGAATAGAGCATGTTCTCTCGGCACCACATCGCCCTTCGTCCAATGGTCTGGTAGAGACAGCGGTTGCGATAATCAACTGTGTTTGGCCAAACAACTTTATGTCTGGGAACATATTTGGAACCGATAGGGAAGTCATCATTCCAGAAGGCTCGGTAGAAGACCGGTTAATATTTGCATGATAATACACAACGTTTCGCTTTTGGCACAAAAGCTTCGTCAGGCGAAGTGAATTAGCTTAACATTGACATTTTGTAAAGATCATGGTTAAGCTACATACAGATACTAATCAATTTGCAGTTCAGCGACGAAAGATTACAGTGGTTAAAGGTTACTAGGCTCGTATGTACACTGTGGTTTGTTTCATACAGGGTCAGATGGGGAACAGAAATTGCTGGTCCGAGGATAGTTAAATGCGTGGTCATCGTTCTTGTTGTCCGTTGCAAGGAACTTGGTCACTGATATAAATTGTCTTTAGTACTTAGGAATTTGGTGGAGGGAGCTTTGATAGTCCATTCCGATTTGGGATCCGTCCACTGATGCTTATCAATCTGGCCGGAGTAAGACTGGACGCCAGCACGACAGCCCCATTCCGTCTATTCTACTCACGCAGTTATTAGCCTTGGTTATTTCTATAGCCTCAGAAATCAGCCTTTGATCGTGATCCCTTGCTGCTAACCTTGGCCTTTTCGAAGTCACTTTCGTGCCCCGTGTCTAGCGCATGCATTGCTATTGCCGAATCTCTGAATAAAGCTCCATACTCTAGCTCATTTCCCGGAGGTCGTGATATGCGTCGCCTATGTTTTAAAATCCTTGTACGTAATTCCTCCCATGTTTTGTCGATGTACACTAGTGTACAATTTGTACATGGAATTTTGTAAATACAGTTAGTTGTTCCATCTAAAGGGAGTGAATCGTTCAGATGCACAAGCTTGGACAGTAGCGTTTGACCCTCCTGGAAAAGTATCCTTATCTTCTTCTTATGCAGTACGTTCTGAATCGTTTCCGAAGTTCTTTCTTTATACCGCATACCCACTGTCGCTGTGCACTCTGTTGTTGGTGTTGCACGTGAGTTGAGACATTTCTGTAGCTGTCGTTTCACCAATCGTTTCAGATATCCGCTGGCTACTAAGTTTTTCATCGCCACCCTCTGCGCTGCTTTCTTATCTTCTTCCTTCTTGCACAGAGCGCTTGCTCTGTGAAACACTGATGAGGCGATTCTCGCATACACCTGCTTCGGGTGACTTGAACTATAGCTAAGTACCACATCTGTGTTCATTGGTTTGCGATGCATTGTCGTGTTTAACGTTCCTTCTTTCTTCCGGACCAGGCAGTGAAGAAACGGATGTGTAGTGCTCTACGACTCAAGTCCCATGGCGAACTTTATCGCATCGGCAATGGAATTCAGGTAGTTTAACAATTCTTCTTCGCTATAGCTTTTTATAATCGCAGAAGTTTCATCCACTAAAGCCACCATACTTTCAGGGCACCACGGAAATTTGGTAATGCTTTTTTCAAACTCTTCCATATACATATTGGCCAATACGGGGATATCGGAGATCCAATGATCAGACCCTGTTCTTGAGTGCACATTCTAGAATGGGATGTGAAATAAGTCATGTCGAGACACAAAGGTATCCCCTCGACCAGTTGATCCACTGTCAGCTTTGTTCTGTCTACTAACTTGCTGTCCTCTATCAATCATCTTCTCGCAAATCGTAACGCCTCCTCTTTGGGTACATTCGTGAACAAGAAGGTAACATCGAAGCTGACCATCAGTTCGTCTTGTTCGATGCTCACCTTTCACGCATCGATGCAAAAGCATGAGCGTTTTTTGCGAATGTGCTCGTTCTCCCTGTTAGGAATTGCAGTAGGCATGCCAGATACCTCGCGAGTTCATGTGTGGAAAAGCCTATGCCATGCATGATAGGTCGCAAGTGGACGTTGTGCTTGTGGATGTTTGGGAGACCGTAAATTCTAGGTGGAATAGCCGACTTCGGATAAATGCTGTACCATTTGCCGTTTCCCAAACTGTCCTTCACGATCGTTAGGTAACTACCGACATTTGATTTCTTCCTATTCATTACCGCTTTGTTTGGTCCCGTGGTCAAATCGTCCGGAACTTTACAGACCCGCCTGGACAAATTCCTATTACAATATCGCATTACACCACACACCACCACGGATCATCCACCTTGTGAAGTTTTGATGGGACGACGTCTGCGCACTCGGTTGGGTCTGATTAAACCCAATCTGCATCGAGCGTTTGATAAAGGCAAGTCTATGATGAAACAACGCTACGACATGAAAACGAAGGATCGCGGGGTTGAGGCAGGCGACAGAGTGTATGTTAAACTGAGGCCAACGGATAGAACTTGGATCCGAGGGACTACGAGATCGACAAGAGGTACTGCAGTGGAAGCGGAATTGGAAGATGGGCGAATACTTCAACGTCGCTTGGACCAAGTATCACGACAGCCTGTGAGTCCTGCAGAGGAACAAACCTATTGCCCATCGCATGCACCCCTGAGAATCGCGCCAGAAGCATTGCCAAATGATGACCACGCTGAGCAACCTATACAGCCATGGCGATCACTTGATAAGAAGCGCAACCTAGCACATTATCAAGCTGGATAATCTAATCTAGCAGTGGAGGGCTGTTGTGATTGGTTAGCACCAGCCACGGTATGTGGACGTGCACGTGACTCACGTGTGTGAATAAATGTCCATGTTATCAAGCGAACCAGTGACTTGGTCGAGTGTACACATTACAGCTGTGTCATTTGCATTTCTGTGTTCTTACCTACAATACAAACTAGGCTAAGCAATAATCGGACATTCTTTTTTACAGACATGGGTCTTATTAAATGAAAACTAATTTTGTGTTTTGCGCTGTCAGCAACTGTGGTGGGTTACAAAAAACGCACCAATTTGCATGTTGACTGTTACCTTCGTGTTCAGCAGATAGAAAATGATGAAAATTCACAATTTTTAACTCAGTAATAAGACCTTTGTAAGAATTTGTTATCCAGTGTCATAGAATTCTAGCGAAACGATAGCTGCAGATGACAGGAATCTAATGGGACTGTAAGTGCCCTAACGTAAGCTGGGTATTGTAAAAATAAGTAATAGGGCTCGGGAGGGGTGTGCAACAATCAAGTGAAAAAGAAAAACGACAGCAGTGGCGCGTTTTCAGTCATCCGCCCTGCTGTATGCAACAGTTAAGCTTACCATGTCAAAATTATGCAATGGCTGATGCAAAACCCAGTCGAACCAAAAGGATAAATTCCTTTATGTTTGCACATGAGCTGAAAAATTGCCAGGGCCCAAAAGTTTAGACAGGAAAATGATTAAGGTTCGCAATGATTGTTCTTGGCATAACCCCCATTGATAGAGCGATAGTACGATGGCAGCGATCCAGTTCTTCAAGAATAAGCCACCGGTCAATCAGGTAGGAGAATCGCTCAAAGTACTCGGAGACTCCAGCCAGTTTAGTGCATTAACGTAACATTAATTGTATTTGTGCGCCTAAGGGGGTCTGTCATTAAAGCAGAGTTTAGAAACGACCTTGAAAAACAATTGGCAACTCACCCCGTCTGAACACACGTAAGTAACGTTGTTGTCCTCCCACTGCAGAGACTTTACAATAAGCAGTGCTCGTCCTCCACTGGAACCGATCACCTCCTCCTTGCCTGGACGCAGATCTCTTCTATCTGTTCGCATCCAGAAGATTTTCCCGCCACTGATTCCGGGGATAGAAGACAGCTCACAAAGAAAGCGGACGGTTGTACCCGGACGGGCATCCACCGTCTCAGGCGTCACTGTGAGTCCTGCGAGATGAATGCAGTGCTTCAGATTTAGCGTTAATATGTCAGAATGTCATGAGGCGAAGCAAGCAAACCTGGTCCTATCGATTCGTGTCAAATAAATAAATAGGTAACTTAGTGTACCAGGAGCTCGTCGAATGGTGCGTGCTGACAGTGGTTAATGAATCAGTAGTACATTCGGTGTTAAAGAGTCGGTGGCTGGACTCGGTTTTAGTGCTAAATGCCTGTACAAATCTCACACCACAGTTGTATGTGTGTGGTTTGGTTGTGTGTTAAACCAAGGTCAAACAATTTTTGGCTCAGTTAACTACTCAAGCTACTGAGTTTCCGCTGCATCCTATTATGTGAATGCATGAAGTGGCGTTCATCGTTCTAGCTCACTTTGCTACTTCAGATATAGCCGACAAGAAGCAGCAAAATCAGCTGCACCAACTATGAGCCATGAAAGTACCAGCCTGTTTCGGCCAGCTTGAAAGGATTTAAAAGTAAACATAATGCGTCAGCTGTACGCCGGAGCGGCGCTTCGCTACCGTGCGCCCACCACCAGTCGCACGCTGGCTGCGTATACCGCGAAGACGCCCACCCTACGCGGATTCGAACCCGCGCCGCAAGGTTACGAGACAACTTCTTTACCTCTAGGCTGAGGGTACACACTTTTAACATATCAGATGGTGCTACAATCAGTTAATGAAACTTGTGCACTACAACCAAGAGCATGCATTAAGAAAGTGAACAGCAGCACTAACCTCGTTCACGTACAACAAGCCTTGCAGTTTGCTTCAGATCAAATGCTCGGCAAACGTAGGTACCCCCATGATGTCTCTGAATATTTCTAATCGTGATGAATGAAGTCGAAGGAGTTGCGTCAGGGCGATCCACAAATACGTCTGGTTCCAAATGAACTTCTGTTTCACTACCATCAGGGATGAAGGACCAATCAATGAGCTGGTTTCCACCTTTCCGACCTTGTAAACGACAATGAAACTCTGTCGCCGCCCCGGCATTTGCCCACTGCGTGTCCAGTTCCGGCTGCAACTCCAAGGCTAATTTAACTGTGAAGAGGTAAACGAAGGGCAGTTTCTACCATGTACCTTACGGTAGAACAAGTGACCAAACGGCCGAATCACACTTTTGACAGGGTAAACCTGTCAACAAGTTACAGTGGGAACATGGTTTTGCACCTTGGAATTAAGGAAAAATAAGATATCATTTATGTTTTTTATTACGCTTGGAAACTCGCAGTCTGCGTGTACAGTAACTATTGGATGAACCTATTCAGGTGAGCAAAACAGTCGTAAACGGTCGCTGTCGTAACGTTGACCTGTCTATGTTCCCTGCTTTCTTTCGCGTACAACCCAGCCCGGGAAAATCCGAAGAGACAACCTGATTGACCAGAGAGGATTCATTGGTGTTCTTCATGATTATATTTATAGGTCAAACCTATGCCATCACACCGACATTTTGTCTGTAAACTTTCGCCCCCATATGCCAAGTAGGTTTGGAGTCTGTACTTTGGTGATGTGGCCAACACGTAGACCCATTTGGGCTTAATGTCTTCGACGGCTTGATAGTTTGACCTCCGAAAAGTCCTCTCACATGGCACACTCACACAGCGCCTGGGAATTTGCTTGGGTATACGGTTCGACCACCAACACCGGCGAGACTTCACAGAGTTAGCTGCCTTGTTCGCAGGCCTAAGGAACCCTAGCTTTGCGTCACCAAAGTGCCTCCCAGATTTAGGCCCCTCCAACACCCCTTCCCCTTCCGAACTGATGACATACGTTCATTTTCCGTACTTGCTATGACAGTAAGCTTTTGCTCTTGGGTCGACTTTAGCCATCTCATTTGCTTACGTCTTCGGGTTGGCCTGCCTGATTGAGCTTGTGGCGCCTATGCAATCGGTTGCGTTCCACTTGGACGGTTGTTTCCGTTCTCCATACCAAAGCTATCCAGCAAATATCCCAACGCATTGCTGCGGATCTTGAGGTCTCTGAAAGCGTCCATGTCGCAGTCGAAGATCGTTGATGTTCCTGGTCCACTTTACATTTCCGACTGTTATCTCGTAGATAAGCTTGCGCCCCTCCCCAATAACCGTTCCGCTCGACCATCTTCCCGGGCTTTGAAAGTTTCGCTCATAAACCAAATCACCCATCTCGAAAGTACGGATCTTGCCTGACTAATCTTTTCTCACTTGTTTGTCGTGTTTTTCCTCATTTCAGGGGATAAGGCTGTTAAAGCTTGTTCAGATTTCTCCTCAAAAAGACTTCGGCAGGATATTTTCCATCTTGGGCGTTTGGGTTTGGCGCATCGGATACATGCACAGGAAAGACTGGATCGCGTTCTGTGTGACCTTGTTTTGTCCCGCTTTCCATCGAGCCCGTTTGAAAGTATCCGCGAATCTTTCCGCCTGTCAATTTGACTGTGGATGTTAGAGTGGTGAGGACAGCTGCTGCAGTTCTTTTTCTTCGCACTACTCGCGGAAGAAATTTGAAGTTAACTGTTTTCTGTTGTCATACCCTGAAATACTGGAACAACTCATTCAGCTCGTTAATCGTTTGCTGGGCAGTCGGGTTTGGCATTGGACCATTTCGGGCCACTTGGTGAGAGAGTCCAACAAAAGGAGATATGATTGACTGCCGACTGGCCCTGCATAATGTAATTCGATCCGTTGCCATGGCTTTTCGGCTTTAGGCCAAGGTTGCCATGGGCACTGGGGAGGGGACTTCATCGCAAGATGACAGGATTAGCAGTTTTGGCAGAATTGTCTGATTGCTGAATCCATTCCCGGCCACTTACCAAAACTGCTTACCAAGACTTTCACACGTTTGGTACCGGAATGCCCGATATGAAACTACTGTAAAACTTGCCTGTCCCCTATCTTTGGCACCCCCACTCAGTCTCTAAAGGTCAAACAATGGTCCACAAAGGCCAGAAACCCACATCGACTGAAGAAAGGCCGAAAGTCAGCAAGGATTGCAACGTTTGGCCAAAGTGTTTTCACTTAGTTCATCACTTTCTCTAGGGTTCTTTCTCGGAGACTCCGCGCGAATGGTGCCAGCTGTCACTGGTAAGCTTCTGACATTATCGGTCAGGATTCGCTGGAATTCTGGCTCGTATTTAATGGCTGCAATCGCACAATCATTCTCCTCCTTTGGGTGCAAATTGATGCGACGAGATAGGGCATACTTTTGGCCATTTTGTTGCCTATGTCGATACTGTATGCTGAACTCGTGCGCCAGCAGTATAGTACCCATCTTGGTAACCGACGTGCGGTATAAACGGGAATCCCGTTCTTTGGGCCGCATAGCGACAGCAATGGATTACTATCGGTCAGTAGTGTCAAATGCCTGCCATAGAGCATCTTGTGGAACAGCTTCAAGACGAAAACGATCGTGAGTGTTTCCTTTTCAATCTGATTACAGTTCTTCTCAGCTGAGTTTGATGACTGTGAAGCAAGAACAATATACACACTAAAAGGGGATTTAGAAATTACAAACTTGACTGCGCAAAAAGCCGTTACATGTTAAACCTCTGGAAGATCATACGACATTGACCGTTCGCCTAAGTATGCCTGATTATAACGTCATGATGAGGCAGGGTAGTATTGGTATAGAGACAAAGTCGACGATCGAGTAAACTCCGCATACGGAGCTTTCCGACTAAAACAGTCTTGATGGCTCACTTCATTCATCAGACGTCGCCAAACTGGACACCTGCAGATGATAACATATACAACAGCTCACATGAAAATGTGCTTGATATTATACCATTTAAGAGGGTTAGATCCGATAGGCTAAAGGAGCCACTTATCAGAAGTCTTCAGGCCAGAAACATCAATTGAAGGTTAATGATCAAGGTATGTCGGTTTCGTGTGAAGTAGATAGATACAAGCAGAATGAGTTTCATTGGATTAGCGCCTGGACTCATGTTCAGACTTATCGTCAATTACTGTTAAGCGCTTAGTGTATAAATGAACACGAAACACATTAGCAAAAATTTTGTTTTACTTTGAAGTTGATTACAGGGTGGGTCAAGTAACTCCTTTATAGCTATATTTAGTAATATTCCGGTTACAGTACTTAGTGTCATCAGGAAGACCAGGAGCATTATAGCAAACCTAGAGATACGGGAACTTAGAATTTATTGCCGTGAGAATACCATAGCAGAAATAGATAGATACATTTCGATTATATTGAAATTGCCATACGCTACTTGCATAAATGCTTAATTACCTACCGGACTATTTAGTTCATTACAGTTTCATCATTCTAGAAGGAAAACTTGCACCGTGCGACTTATGCACACAGAAAATTATAAAGCTTTGCCTATGTTTCCTCCGCACCTATGTGGTGGAGAGCATTCGCGTGCTTTTAAAGTTGTATCGTAAACCGAGAAACAGTAGGTAGAAAAAGCCTCTGACCGACTGAAACACGCATAGAAGCATTTCGATAGAAAAATGTCTAGTTAACCCACCAGATTTATGAATCAGGTGAACTTGCGTCTCCCTCTGGTTCTGGCCACACGTGTACACACCCTCATCCTCCGGGCTCATGTTGAGGAGAATAAGCATACTAACATACAGCCGGTCGATGCGTTTTACATGCTCTCGTAAGGGGCCCGAGTTAAAGAACCACTGGACCTGCAATGAAATCGAAAGAATTGCTGTGTGGATATTTTGGAATAGATGGAGTAACTGATACCACATAGTTCACTGGGCGACCAAAGCACCACTAAAGTACTCTGAAACGCATAACATCCGAATTTGACAATCAGCTAAGCTCTGCACCTGCGTTGCTATTTATTCAACTATCTACCAAATAGCAGCTTATTGACGAATAAAAGTTGTGCGGGTGCAAGGGGACTTCGTTAGATTGATCCGTTACGAAAGCAGCCGGATGAGTACTCGGTTGTGCGATTTACATGAACACCAACAGCAGTACTGGTAGGTGGCAGCAGCAGAGCGAACTCTAGAGTTGGGACTGACTGCAGTTTGAATGGAAAAATACCGAAACGCCCCTTAAGTTATGACGCGATATTTGCAGACAACACAGTTGAAAAGCTAGTCACTTAGGAGTAGAGGTCTCAGCTAACATCCCAATGGTTCCGGGCTCGATGCCTAACGTCTCTACCTGATGAGATAATATAAACTCGAAACCTGTCGTGTAGTGCAACATTTTCGAGAACACAATATCCGATATCTACTAGCTAGTCACTTTCTTCGTTAGAAAATGAAATTGGTACATGGGCTGGTTAAGACCGCGATCCCGCTTTGGATTCGGCCAAACGAAGAGCAGTGCTACCGCACCTGATGGACCATCGTGAAGGTTGCTTCAGTTGTCAGCAGTAAAACAAGACCTAGAACTAAAGGGTGCAACATAACTTACATTTTTGTATAGCTTACCTCTTTTGAGTTATTAACAAGTTGCTTATCCACGTCGCAGATTATTTGCACCGATTCTTCTGGTTCGAAGCTGAACAACTTGCGACCACCGTCCTTCATGTCTGAACTCAAAGGAATGAAGACGGTAGTTTTAGCAGTGACCAACGCAGTGCACTGGGAATCGGATTCGGGTGAGAAAAAATGACAAATTCAGCGATCCCAAGTTACCTCAAATGGGTCTAGCAAACAACGCTGGTAGACACGCATTGTACTTAATTGCTACTACTTTACAACGATAGTACCTGCCAGTTGCAAAGGCTTCTAAACACTAGAAATAACACTTTCAGTATACACCCATGTCCAATGCGAACGTTAAGTGCAAGAAGGCGGATAGGTAATTCTATGGACCAAGCTTTGTTATGCTGACACTTGTGATGTCAGCTCTCAATCTACTCGTGATCGGTCATCTGAACTTGACTTCAATGCAGGCTGTCGTTTGCGTTCACGAGTCTGGTGATGGTACGCGTTTCATCCCATCCTGTACAACGTTCTGGTACTCTCACCTGTGCTCCTCCCAGACGACTGCACAGAGCGACCCCCCGGGTTGGTCTTCACGGAAATATTTCTGCCCATTTGTGCGCATGAGTGCACTGCATTTGGTCAGATTTCAGGTGGTAACAAGTCGTAGTATTAAAAACACATTGCTATGGTCCCAACACAACTTTCATTAGTCCCGGTCCAAATTGTTCGTAGTTCGTACGCTCAGGAAAGTTTGTTAAACGGCTCGTGATTAAGTTTACTATCCCCTGGGTACACAAGCAGTATTTTTATCCGAAAAATTACTGTTTGTGTTTATAGTGAGTAAATTTGTTTCTTAACATAGTGAACGAAAAACGCTGCTCGTCGATTGTCACTTAGGCAATTGAGAGTGTGTCGTTTTGTGGACAAAATTTGCAAATAAACTTTTATGCGTGCTTACTTAGGTACACAATATGTACGAAGAGACTGGACAGAATAGTCGCAGAGGTAGCACTACAGTTCACAATCCCAGGCTTACGCTCAGTCACGGCTGTGTACACATTCGAGTGCAAACATACTCGCAGCTGGCCCATCAACGAGCTGTGGGTCGGATAACGTGACCACTGACGCTTACGTTTCCGATCTCGTGTGTATCGTTAAGGTCACTCAACCTTTCGGTGTCGAAGTATCCTTGTTGACAGCAAAGCGCGCATGGCGTTGGGGTTGCGTGTGCCCCATCTGCTCTCTCCAGCAAGCGTTAGCTTGGTTGTTGGCGTGTACTGCGTCAACCAGAAAACAGCAAACCGCAGATCAGCTGAATACAAGGTCAACCGGCAGACTCCTGGAATAGGGTTATGAACACAACCCAACCATATATTCAGATTAAAAGGAAGCGTCCGATACGGAGTGAAGACCCCAATTTGAGCAATAGCAACTTTTAAAGTTGCCGTTAGTATGTAGTGTTGAATAGCCCGGAGTTATATGCACTCAGGGTATTTATATCGCTCAGTTGAGAATTCAAAAGCGGCAGTTTTCATGCGTGAGACTAACAAAATCACCTACGGGGCCTGAAACGTGAGCGATAGCGGACAATTCAAACGAAAGAAACCAGCTTCTCGAAATAGAGCGGCATCTGGGAATGAGTAGAACTGCGGAATCAAAATGTGTACATGCTTGTCTAGACGGTTGGATAGATCGCTTCCGTAGAAAATAAGTGCTTCCGGAGAGTTGCCTGGAAGCTGAACCCCCGATATTTGCCGTACAACGCAGTGACCTATTCCGGCTAGATATACCAAGTCGTATTACACGCTGATAAGAGAGTGCTTCATTGGGCATAAGAAGGACATTGTGCGTTGATGAATTCAGTAGGTGTCCAACCAACACTTCTTCCAAAGACACGGTTGAGCCGAGAAGTTACTACTATCTGTGAAGTCCTCTGAAAACCTTGAGGGTTCCGTTTTGTGACTTGTAAAAAGCTTCTTAGATCCAAACGACAGATCTCAATGGAAACTCAGCCGTTTAGTAGTGTTCACTTGTCCGTTTATCTTACAAACCTTTAATCGTGCAAAAGCGTTGGTTTCTGTGTTTTACAGTAAATGATACAGCTAGTTGCAAATAACAGGGCCACAAATTTTGCAAATTTCTGAACGGCCATTCTGCTACTACCAGTGCGCATTCTCGGTCCAACACAGGAGAAGCCGTCGAAAAATTCTCAGTTGAGCAGGAAAATTCTCCTTCTGGTTTATGAGTCATGTGCCGTTGAGTTCACGTTGAACAAAGACGCCCTAGCGTCAATCCTCAGTGGAAATTGTACGGAGTGACCGTACTGACCGAAACGAGATAGCATCTCCCTGGTTAATCAAGGTGAGTTTCTAGCCAACCCGTGTACTTAGGGACAGTATTCATAACCCGTCGTTCTTTTACACCACCCGGTAGAACGCTACGTCTTTGACGTTTGAATCTCTCGTGGTGGAGGACCCATGCAACCCCAGGAATTACAGCGGTCACGAAATTTTTCCTTTATTGGCTACGTTACCCATCGAGAAAACTGCTGATCAGCAACCGGATATTAACTAGTGATGCCACCCTGTATCTACTTTACCCCAACTGCACTTACATCAAATTCCTGCCTTAAACTAACTTTAGGGACCACGATTCTACTGACTTATACGGTACAGCTGATTTTTAACTACTTCTATTCGTTCCCATTTCAGCTCCCGATCCATCAAATATTATAAGTAACGTAAATTGCCAGAATTTATCTGGAGCGACCCAAGTATCTCAACGTTAGATTACTTTAATTAGGTCAGTGGACGTTGTCAATTAGACAAAAGTGCATGAAAAGCTTAGACACAAGATCCATAGCCCGGGGGATATCTCTGGCGTCAATAATTGAATGTAGATGAATGGTGTGTTTGCTTGAGTGAGTGGGTCAAAATGAAGCCTTCACGGTTAATGTTGTTTCACAGTCGGATTCAGAGAGGGAAGACTAGTGCATCGGGAGGAGCTTGAAGATTATTTCCCTATGGCTGGTTAGGATGTGCCGTTACTTTTGAGTCATTGACTGTTTTCATGGCACCGGTTCACTTTGCTAACATGTGAGCAATAATATCCACCTTATTAGGCCAAAAAATGCATCAAAGTATGTGTTTCATACCGATAATTCCGATGGCCCTGATCGGAATCGGAAATAAATTGACATCTGCAGATCCAAGCGTCTCTCCACTGGTTCTGTCTTCCACCTGGCACGTCACCATACGCCTTTCCTTTTCAACCGAATGCGACAGAGTAGGGTCGATCAGCTCCGTCGTGAACTCTTGCCCTTCGTGCATATCGTCGTCCCAACTTTTTTTCCACCGGTAAACAACATCTTGTCCTTCAGCCAGAGGAACGGTCCACTGACAGCCAATAGTGATTGTCAAACTTTCAGGCGACTGCCTGGGCTGTAGCTTGATCAGCGGGGAGGCTGCAGAAGGAGTACACGCATGAGAGCGCAAGCGTACGGATACAACGGTGTAATTTGTACCTTGACGACACACAGGGAATGACCGAAGCATGGTTTTGCTAAGCTTTACTGGGGAACGATAACACTGACACTGCTCCCCATAAGACTCAATTAATGGTCAGTAACTCAAGGTGAACAGAGCGACAACGCATGAATCACAGACAAACCACGTTGGAACAGAGTCGATTGGATAGCCGTTAAATGAAAAGAAAACACACTGTGACATTTCGGTGAGTGGTCTATTCTTTCCGATGTGATGTATTAGTAAAGAAAAGGACACATACCTAAGCAAAAGACACCCCACGATATAACTTCACTGGTTACCTAACTGCGCCCCGAATTCCATTAAGCAACGATTATTAGTTCCCAGTAGATATTATTTCTTTGCTAGCTTCATGTACCGAAGCTCCGAGGGTCTCTGTAGATGCAAGCAGCACCAACAAACACTTGGTGATACCTTTAGCAATGAGAACACGCTGGACCCAGGGTCATGGGTAAACGGAGTAGTCCTCAGTAGAAACAGGTAACCTAGTCTATCCAAAAAAGTAACTAGGTACTCCTCTAGATGTCGGAACTTAATTGGACGTGAGGCCTATATGTTACCTGTATTAAAAGCTCACGAGCAAACACTATGTGCTCGTGCGAAGCAAAGACTGAGTTGAGATTGGTGTAGGTGGTGCGTCTGTTAGAGGCGCTCCAAATCCAACTGGGGACAGTCTTTTTGCTTGACTAAATAAAGTTGGACGAGCTAAACAGTGACTAGGCGTATCAAGCATTGTAAACTCGAATAACTTGGAAGTACCCGCTGTACACTAAAGATTTTTGCCAACTAGTCTGTCACGCCACTCGCTCGTGGATAGCTGGTGCCCTGCAACACGGATAACCACGGCTGGATATCTTTGTGCTACTCCTAGTCCGATGGTCTCACACCTTAGTTTTCCGGTAGTCAGAGTCAATGGGCTTACTGAACTGTTTCGCAGATTCACAACAGTGTCACGTGACCGCTTCGGACAACTACCATCGGAATGTTCACTAAGGGACATAACTGGACAAGACGCCTAAAACCAGCAAATCATCTTGTCAAGGCCAGTTAGTGAACGGAAGAAACCAAATATACACAGTCCGTTTGGATTACTGGATGGAAACTATAGGTGAACAGCGACATGTAAGTACAGTGCAAATAAAGCACATAAATGTGCTGCTTCTGTAAACGGGTATACTGTTGGGATTTGAATAAACTGCTCTACAATGTCACTTTAACTGCATTGCTTTACCCATGGAAACAAACTCCCGGCCCCATAAGTGTTACATCCTCATATTTCCTATGTTAAATCCGCTGGTAATGTATAGTCTTGCTCATACGTAGTAATCATAATGACTGATCAGCTCCCTCTGTAAATGGGTTTAATGAGCAGGCTGCGAAAACGTCTGTGGTAAGAGGTTAGAAACTAGAACAGCCATCCAATCTACAGCCAAAGGTCGAATGACCAACTTGCAGACAAGCCGTCCGTACACACCGCTAAGAATCAATCAGATCCACAGATCGGGATGCATGGGACCCGTTGCGCCGCCAACCCGAGATTTTGGAGCAGTTCAGGATCAAATTGTAGTGGCACGGAAGGCAGCGATCACGTAGGAGACTGAAAAGCCACTCAAATGAGCGAGGACCGAAACGGGCGCAAACATCATGGGCGAGATCGAACGGCGCAACGCCAGCCCAACAATACGAGCAGAGAGAGGAAGGCGAACAGCGCATGGGAACGTGCCTGAGCCAAAGAGTAGGGAAATGGGATGTGTCGATTGGCCAATAACTCAGACAGAAATACCTTTATCGGTGCATCCAGTAGCAACATCAAGTTGGATAAGGCAACTGAGATCAAGAAAATTGAGAGCTTTGGAACGACTCTAGGCTGATCTGAATGCGAGCTGCGGAAGCAAAACTACGGGGTCAGATAGGCAGCCGGAGCCCCCAATGATGCAACCCAACGAGGCACGAAGGTGGCATGTGATTCCCCATGTAGGTTGTGTTATGGGACGGAAACATGGTCAGTACATGCGCGCGTGCGCGCAGCTTGTGGAATCAGTGATCGCGTGCAATAAATATTGCGCTTTCTTGCCACTTCGTTCTTGCTACAAGATGACCGAGTTGCACAGCAATCGTTCGTAAGCGCAGGTGAGAGTTGGTCAGATCCGCGTTCCGAATTCATGGACGTGCGGACTACGCGTTGCCAATCTGAGCCATCCTACGAACACCATGGATTGTACCAACAGATGAGACTTGGGATGACTTTACCGTATAAAAGCCTGTGTTGTTTCCATGCAAATTGATTTTTATCAAACCATAGATTGATTTTTTGTGTGATCACGGATGGCTATACCACACTGCTGATGGAGACGTTAAGTTGAGGGCATTTGTATTGAGGGATTCAATTTTCGCTCGTTGTGGAAATCTTACACAGCGGCAGGAAAGCGGATCCAGAGTTGACGATAACACAACGAAATGGATCCAATAAAAGAGACAATACACCTGGTCCCGGTCATAAAGTAGAGTTTTCGTGGATGCATGACGACAAGGGGACTGACGGCTGCACGTACCTGACACAGAGATTGCATCCACGTAAATTCACCAAGCTAGGTTCTTGTTAAAACGCAGCTGAGGTGACTACATGTCTGTCGAAACGTATTACTCCATCCCTAGTCTGATTTCAGTGTTTTAAAAGATTTCTCCCGATCAGAATCCTTCAGGTGGCCACAGCTGTTTCGTAACACCATCGCAACGCTTCCCTCACTACTAAGAATGGGATCCGAAAATAGACTTTTCCCGTGCAAGACAACGAGTGACTCGGCCCGCCGGCATGTCGCGAGTGATTACGTAATTGCATTCCAGCGAGCACTATTCGGCCAGTGGCACAAAAGATCAAAATCCTGTCTTGAAAACCGGAGATCACAGGTTCGAGTCTGCGTAAGGGACCGGGCGACCCTCGCAGTATCCTTGACTCACGCCCGGTTGGTGGTGGTTGTCTGTCAGCGAAGGGTTGGTACTTCATAGAGGCGTAATGCTGAGGCCTACTTTCGAACGCGTAACATCTTGGCTAGCAACAGTTTCGCCTAAGTGTCTCCCAAACAGTGACAATGGATTAGCCAAGAGTCAGCGCTAAGAAAATATTGTTAACTCACCAGTGTTTAAGTAGTTCGCGCACTTAAGCCCATCAGAAGCTGATTCGCCGCGACCACTGATGGTGATGTGACTACGATACTCTGAAGGACGCGCAACTCAACATTTGTAGCAAGATATGAAAAATAAGTAGTCGGTGAAGAACGGTCGAAGTTGAAAATATTGCAACCGATCATTCACAGGTAGCTGGCTTGGATTCCGTATAAAGGAAAATAATTGCAACATTGGGAATTCTCCAATAAATGTCTAGTGTGCAGCTGTTTGATCTCATAGGTGGTTAGGGGTTTAGTTTTAAAATACCAATAGTGTATGTTGTTTGTATAATCGTTAGAGGTGGTTTTCACCTCAAAGCTAATATGGACCGGCCAATTTGTTCACTGTGTAATAAAGTACTCCGTTCTCACGATCTTTACAAGGCGAAGTGGCGAATGTAAAACTGGAACACTCATTCGCTTTCCCTAAAGTTTTTTTAAAATTGCAACGCACAAACTACATGACACGCTTACTTGGATAGTCCCTGCGACTGCGTTGGAGTGCATGTGACCGAGGAAAATTCTGAATTATGTCATACCTACACCAAACTTGATGGCTCTCCGATTTCGGCCCCAACTTCGCTGTTCTTCCGTACTGCCCGAGGTGGACAAATCCAATGGGTTGCTCCCACGTGACAGCAGTCCAAGCGTTTGGCACATCAGGACACATGTATCGGTCACTGTCGCGTTGAGCAGGCTTGAGGACTGTTAGCAGTATGTGGAAGAGTTGTTGAAATGTAGGTTGGCTTCATCAAAACACCACGGTAAGTTAGAAAATAACTTCTCGGGTTCTTAGGTTAGGGGAAAATAAATGGTCTGGAACAGTACAAAGAGGTTAATCCATTTTGAAGCTGTTTTGCAGTCGGGGATTAGGAAAAATGCGATGAAGATAAAACTAACATATTTCTCACCATGTACATCTCCTGGCGTCTTGATGTGAAATCTGTGAACTGCAACTGAGATCCTACTGGTTGCCTCGTCATTGTGTGGGGTGCAATAATAAGTACCTAGGTCATCACGCGTTGAGTGTTTGAGTAGAATTGTGGGTTCAGTATAACCGCTCAACTTATACCCGGGCCATCTGTACCAGTCCACCGAATAGTTCATGGAGCCACTTCCAGGACAACTGAGGACAAGCGGTTGACCGGAGCGAATCTGCGAGTGTAGCTCTCTTTCCGGTTCGTAAACAAAACGTGATATATCTGTCGGATGAGGAACGCCAGGTGATAGGTTAATTAGAAATCACACTTGTAGTGAACTGTGGAAAAAGTTGGTAGCAGTTAACAGGTATTGATTGGTACATCTGGTCCAGTCCGGCTGGCACTTGTGTTTGTAGGTATCAATACTAACCACTTTTCTGGTCCTAATGGCTATATGAGCAATGACCACGGCTGTTTCCGGATTTGAGACCACTGCGCAATCAAACAGTGAAGGCCATTTAACCACATTTTCAATATGCAGCTTGTCAAATGAACAATGGAACAGTGGTATAATAGGGATTAACAATGCCTTGGCTTGACTAGTCCTGTGGGATGGTTTGTGGGAAAAACGTTGGTACAAAAATGTTGCACAAAAGGGAAAAAACGCATCTGTTAACTGACCATATTATGCACATTAATACAAAGGTATTTCCATTTATCCCGATTTCGTGGAGTTGGATGAGTACAATGTTTGTCTGTGTTATGTCGTCACTCAAGGAATACAAATCAGATCATGTAATGTAGGCGGTGTAAAGCATCGTCGAGTCGTTTTTTCATGGGTAGCGTGGGCGCGGAAATGACAAAAGTCGAAAGATCGATTCGATCTAACAAAAGTGGAGATGATTCCACTTCACAAGGATAAAATTCATTACGAACGAGCCATTCACATGGGCACACGAATAAATCTTACCAAGCCCATCCGTCTAATTAGGGGTTAGGTGTACGGGCACATGTACTTGATGCCGGCTGAGTCACACAAATACAAATGGGAAGTGTTGTATAGGCTTTCCCTCAGTGTTATCCAACTCCGTACGAGAAACTGGAACAAGTCTTAGCATCAAAATATGCCAGTTACATTTCCCTCCGCAATAGATAAAACTGGGAAAGCTTTTGACCACGGTTAAAACTAATTTATAAGCTAGTAATAGTGGGGGTGATTGGGAGTAGGATAATGGCCGAGTGCTTCGAAGTAGTGACGGGATTACCTCATTGTTCGCCGATGTCTGCCAGACACTGCGGCATTTCATTCAAACTTCGAGCTACTGGTTTGTGTGTGAAATCCATATCCCATTATGTACTTAGTTTAAAGCCCCATTCACATTGGTTCCGCACAAAATCACTGAGTATACTTAAGGAGCACTATATAAGTGACATGTTGGCTAGAACTTCGGATGATGTGGAAATGATTATCACGTTTAGCAATCTTTCGGGCTCATGTGTGGGCATCAAGACGCATTGAACGTCAAGATGCATTGAACTAGGTTTTATACTTGTGAATATGAACTAAGGAGAATTCGCCCTAACGAGTTGACTATATTCCAAAAACTACCCAATGGCAATTTGAGAAAATCCAGCAGGCCATACTAACATCCACAAAAACCCTTAGGTGGTTACGGAAGTCAGCGATCTCAATATACACGATGATAATTTGTGATAAAGCCGAGTTTGTCGGTTTTCCGTGAGGATTGCTCCCAAACCTACTAATACAGAGTGGTTGGAGTAATGTTATTAAATTCTAACAAACAGTTGCCTATATTCCAGTGGCGACATTGGTTGCAATTCCTCGATAATGTTGATCGAGAGAAGCACCAGTCTGTCATCATATTACCATTAACAACCACTAAAGAAACCACGAGCTTTGGTGAATGCTACCACTGGCTGCACAGAGACCACATAATGGCATGGCAAATAATTAGTGATCTCAACCATTTGTATGGCCGCTTTTTGAGGCTCAGCTCAAACACTATACTGATGGGAAATCACTTGTAAATGAACAAAGCAATTGTCCAGATTGTGGAGGGGAAATTTTCTCACAGATTTACCCAACTCTGAAGTGCTCTGCCAAACTCGGTTGTTTGTGCTCCCATATCAGTCAACTTCGAAAAGCATCTGGATATCGTGCTCAGCCCCTGCACTCTGTGACATAGATGCTTAACTTTCGAATGCATCCTTCCGATACATTATTAGGAACCATAAGCCACACTGATACGCGCGCGTTAGAATGATCAGTTTGGTGGTCGGATTCAACTGTACAAGAAGAAATATAGAAGCATTATTAATGTTTTACATGCCGTTATTCTGTTTACACAAATTTGCCTCTAACATGTAGTCACAACACATCACAAGCACTTTTTCCGAAGGACCGCACCCAATTCCTATTTGCTTCAGCTACTGTCCCAGTGATCGGACTGACCAAGCTTCACGTTACTTTATGACTGAGCGTCACAGCATGCACTTCAAACTGGCTTTCTAAAAACGATTTGTCTGTGTTACATGCGGTATGTTTTGCATTTTAACTTTCGCTCTGACCGTCATACGGGGCTTGTGACGCATGTCCTTTTTGCGCCCATTATGAACCGCCATGCCACTGTCCCGTTTTACTCGAGTATCTCACAGGTACAATACTGAATATATAGCAATAGATGTTGTACACAGCGCAAGGACTCAACTGATAAAGTAAGCATGGTGTGAAGACGAAAACCCACCTAATCCTAACGTCTCCATCCTCTCCCATCATATTACTGACTATTGTACATGCCCTAATTCTTGACAGACTGCTCCACCATCCTAATGCGACGAGGTCCGAAAAATTATTCTTAGTGTTTTTCAAACGTCCGTCCCTGTCTGGTACTCTTCGGTAGTTTCGGAAGAGTCTCAAAATACTCTGTCATTTCATACCAATTTATCTGGACAAAGTTTCCATTTTAGAGTTCTGTGATGAAGTCGTTTGTAAGAACCCGAATGATGGATAGACAGCATTCTGTGTTTAAATTTATCAACTTTGCGGATTAAGAATCGGTGGTGCCGCTATTACATATATCAACCATTTGCTGAAACAGTAGAAACCTACTTAAATCTGTGAGCCATACACAATTCGAGTGTCATCTGTACAAAGATACATGTCCTCGGAATATTGTGTTGGGCAGCGTATCGGCAAACCCAACAATCGAATATTATATGGCATCAGAAGTACCTCTGGGTCAAGCAACTTGATGCAGTGCTGCTGATTGACACAAGTATGAACCATACTTTATCACAGAGGATTTGGAAATTTGTGTATAGGTTCCATACATCACAACTAAGGTAGCCAATGCCAAACGTGATCTACAGGTTATGGAGGACTGGACAGTAAAGTAGTAGATTCAGTTCTCAACATCGAAATGCAAAATAAAGACTTTTGAATGCAATTCATTGGCCGGACTATTTCGACTTTATGACGATATCATACCCGTTTACCATATTGTTAGCGATGTAGGATTGTGATATTCAAACTCTCTAAGCTCCAGCCAAATTACGAACTATATTGTGAGTAAAACAATGCAAGCAATGGGGCATATCTGTTAGGTGCTAACGCCGAGAGAGACCAGATTCATGCCAACTAACATCAATATAAGGCTCCCGTTAGAATACAGCTGCATGAGCTTTGCCAATCTACGTAGCTGTGACTTGAAATCCAAAGAAGACGTACAAGGTGCCCTCACCGGACGCATCTATGGCTATAGCACACTTGTTTCTTATAAGGATACATGTAATGAGCTATACTTCAAGACATTGTGGTTGAGCAAATGACATTCAAATCTTCGTTTCCTACGCAAACTCATGTAATAAAGAGTATACAGTGAACTCTGCTCCTCGCAATTTCGACTAAAAATCAAGTATGAAATACGTGACACCGAATGTGTGATATTTGTGCCCAGATTAAGGATCACAGTTAGAACTTTTGTCTAATAACTTTATGCTAGATGTGGAATAGGCCGCGTAGGTGAACTCAAAAAATGATTGAGGATTTCCTGACAGCAGCGGAGGTGAAACCGCTCTCAAACTTGCGAATAAACGATGACAGATTGTTTGCGGATGCACCAGGTCAAATATGACACAAACGAGCACGAGGGCTAAATGATTCAGAAAAGAATCCGTGTGATATGATACTATGACGTGGAGCAAATACAGAAGACAAGCAACCGAGGATTACTGGTAAGTAGCAGGATTTTAGTTGTAATTTTCTTAAGGTTTATGTAGCCCAGCCAACGTCCCTCATGGCTCAGTGGCTTAAGCTGCTAGCTAGTTGGCATCTGCCTACAGCAGTCATGAGTTCGATCCTCCTTAGAGGACCGAGGGAATGCGCACCAGTAACGAGCCCAATAGCGCGAAACGCGTCTGGTGCTTTTCCGGACTAAGCTCTGCTATGTAGCTTGTGAACTACTGGGATGAAAACCTTAACAAAATCGAGGATTATTAACAAAACCGCTCCTCCAGAGTGCAGTTGTAAACGGACCAAAACAATTTCGCATACCTCAAAACTGTTCGTAACATGCAATGCCCAGGGGTTCGCACGGCAGCGCTTACAATGTGACTCATCGCTTCCCCCTTCATTTATCGGTTCTAACCCTATCATTTATAATGTTGACGTATTCTACCTGGGTACCGCTTATCGCGGATTTCGAACCCCTTTTACATGCTTTCTACGCTGATGATGCCATTTACCTGTGGCATACGAGATCCGTGTGCACACTGGGCAATGGTCAACACAGATTCGTTCGTCTTCCCCTCCTGGTCACTTCCACCACACATTCCATGATATACCCCTAATTACAGATTTTACCTTGGGTTCTCCTCTGATGACCGCCTCGCTCAAATTTTACAACTCTGTTATTTAAGGTTTTATTCTGGCGATGTCATTGCCTGTGACAAGTAAGATCGATGTGCCCACATTGCAGTGGTAGCTATCTATCATATAGTCGTCTCATTCTTCCTCAAACGTTTCATTACATAACGC